AGTGTCGGTTGATCATAACACTGTGCGCAATATGTAACAACTTTATGAAAATTTCAATATTTTTCCCACAATTCTTATAAATTGCTTCAATATCATTAAAAAAATGTATAAGAAAAATTTAAACGTTTAAAGGTTATAATTGACGTAAGATATTTGACTTTTCACTCAGTCCATAGGCGTCCACGAAAAATTTTCTGGGGGCAGACAACCCGATAAACGTTTAAATGTTATAATTGGCGTAAGATATTTGACGTTTCTCATAGGCGTCCACGAAATTAACGTGTTAACAACGACCAAAAACAAACAAATTTGAAGCAACAATCCTACTCCATTTTGAACATTATAAACTGTGTCTTAACTAACGATCAAAATATAAAAGACGTTCACTTAAGACTTGTTTTTTTTTGTTTCTTCTCTTCTGCAAACTCGATCAATTGAGAATAAGTGTTATTCGCGCAAATTGCAAGAATCGAAGAGACGTAACGAGACGTTGAACGTATGATGGAATGCTTGAAATCGATGTGAACTCTTGATGATCGTCGTTGTTGTTGTTGAGCAACAATCCAGAAATGGTTGTCCTCGAGTATAACAATTTGCGAGCGAAAAAAGAAAAGAAAAGATGAACATTAATAGAAGAAAAAAAAGAAGTTGCAATAGGTCTTGGATGCACGTGCTCTCGCATTCACAACCCTCTCCTTCACCCCTCTTAGGGCACCACGTGACATCGTCCTTCTCTTTTTTTTTGCCGTTGCCAAGCAACAGCGAGATGCTTGTTTATATCTGATGGAGAGAGAGAGAAGTTGTTTTGTTTTTGAAACAGTTGGCTGTGTGCGCAGGACGACGACGACGTCATCTCCGTGGGGGGAAAAAAATAAAGAGGAGAGGAGAATAATTTTAGTATTAGTGCATTCAACAAATTCACATTACATAGTTCTTGTGCGGTCGCTTTCATAATCGCAGCTTTTCTTCGACTCTCGCGAAGAAGTAAAGTAAAGGCACGCACAGTGAAGCAACAAGCACACTTCTCCTCTTTGTTCTTCCATCTCTATCTCTCTCTCTCGATGACCGATGGAAGCGCTGAGAGTCGCTGCCGTACAGTAAGAGAACGGTGAACCAGAAATAAACGCGAAACAATATCTATTCTCGGACGAACGCATTTCTCCTTTTGGCAACCATCCCCGCCGAGATGCACATTATTGCACCGCAACAACAATAACAACAATTGCTTCAATTTACATAACAACAATAACAAAAAATCAAAATTTCCATAGCAACTATAATACCTTTTGTTTTCTCTCATAACAACAACAACAAAAACAGCAAACTGCAATTTGTATAACAACAACAACAACAACTATTTGATATCTATAGCGACGAGATAGCAGATTTTCGCTCGGAAACTTTAATCGGACGCGCAGCCAGGTTCAAGGTCGCGACGGCAAATTCAAAGACCTCCCGTTCATAGACTTTACGACTTTTCTCGTTTGCAATCGTGAAGTCAATAATTTTTGTCCAAATAAATAAATGTTTTGTTTAGATAATCCTTTTTGTATTGTGAGCGTCGCGCGGATTGCGTAACGCGATCGAAGGTTGCTTTATTATTTTTGTACACATTTTATTTACTATTATTGACTTAAAATGCACGTTGTAGTATTATTATTATTATTATGATTATTTCCTTGGTGCGTTTACATTTTTTCATCTGAATTTACGCGGAAGGAAAACTCGTCGTCGTCGAAGGACGCGACAATCCTTGTTTCAATGAGATGCAGAAAAATCTACGTAACCTTTGGAAACTTCATTTTTTGTTTGTTTTATTTACTTGACGACGATTTCCTGAAAACGCTATTTCATCTAAAGTCGTCACATCGCCTAGCAACGAAAATATAATAAGCTTATGGACTTAATTTAAACATTTCTAAAATTAACTTCGTTTCTAAACTGAAATTAAATTAACATTAACTTAATTTCATTCATCTTCATGAAATTCACATTACAAAAAAAAAAAAAAAATCCCAGCGCTGGTATTGTTATTTCTTTTGTTTTCCACTGATTTATCGTGTTTTGTTGTTGTGTGTTAGGTGAGAATCCTAGCCTACGCGATTCCGCTAAACAAAAAAAACAAAAGAATGCTAAATAATAAGATATTAAAAATCGAATACTCCAATTACACCAGTTAATTTCATAGCAATTTCGTTTTGTTAATGTTTTAATAATAAATTATTTCTCATCTCTCATCAAGTTTTGTCGAAAATTCGCAATAACAATTGGCAATGAGTTGATGTGATGATTCGTTTGTGGACGTGATGAGAAGAATAATCAAGAGATCGAAGCGAAAAAATAAAAACAAACTCGAATCGACGACGGAGGAGGTGGAGGAGTATTAAACTTTGTGAGTCCGTGGAGATCGTTGATCCGCTGTTTTGTTCCGTCACGTACGTTCGGCACGAAACCGCAAAAAAACATAAATAAATAAATAACTTACCAATAAATATTGTTTTGGAATCGATTCATCATCAACTTTTACACACAAACAAATAAACAAAACTTATAAACGTCAAATTAATAACAATTGTAAGTAAATATTAGTGGAATTCGTATTGCCAACTTTAATTTATAAACATTGCCGACAACTTGAATAACATGTACTTCGTATTACCATCGACAGGTGTCTCACTTTTAAATGATTTGATAACGTTATTGAAATATGCAATTAAATTATTAGCAATTCATTATTATAAATTGAGAATACGAGAATATGATGATAGTTTCAAATGCAACTCACATCGCTCGCACGGAACATAACCAAATGTTAATTACAAACTAAAGTCAAATTGACTTCATGTGGAATTCGTATTGCCAACTTTATTTTATAAACATTGCAGACAACTTGAATACCATGTGTTTCGTATTACCATCGACAGGTGTCTCACTTTTAAATGATTTGATGACGTTATGCAATTAAATTATAAGCAATTCATTATTATAAATTAAGAATATGAGAATATGATAATAGTTTCAATGCAACTCACATCGCTCGCACGAAACATAACCAAATGTTAATTACAAATTAACGTCAAATTGACTTCATGTGGAATTCGTATTGCCAACTTTATTTTATAAACATTACCGACAACTTGAATAACATGTACTTCGTATTACCATCCACAGGTGTCTCACTTTTAAATGATTTTATGACGTTATGCAATTAAATTATAAGCAATTCATTATTATAAATTGAGAATACGAGAATATTATGATAGTTTCAATTCAAATTGACTTCATGTGGAATTTCTATTGCCAACTTAGTTTTGTAAAAATTACCAATAACTGTTCAATTTTATACTGATAATAAGAAGAAGTAATTTCTTCTAATATGACGGTCATTGTTTTCGTGTTATCTCCAACAGATGATGTCTCAATCGCAAAAATAGAGAATATGAAATGTTAATGACACTTATTAATGTGATGCACATCGTCGATTGTTTTATTAACAGACACCTGCGATCAATTAATAATTATAATAATGTGGTGAGGGGGGGAATCGTACGATTTTCAGACGTGGTTTGCAAACTGAATAGAGGAAAAAAAAACAAAAGAAAACAAATTTAAAAAAAAAAGTTAATAGTTAGCGTTGTTATGGCTACGTCGTTGTTGCTGTTTTTCATTAGTTTGTTTTGTGGTGAAGAAGAAGGAGTGTGCGTTTGGAAAGCGAAACGCTTACAAGTCTGTCCCTTTCGGTCACGATCTCACGTATTATAAGTCTCCTCTAGTTGGCGTAGTCTCGCAGCACACACACCTTCACGTCCACCACCCTCTCCTCCTCCTTCACATCGTAATTCCGAAAAGCAATAACAATAAATCAATATTTCGTACGCGCTTCAATTGTTCGCACTAAAAACAACAACAAACAACAACAACGATTCGCATACCACAACTCCCCTTGCCATCGTCATAGCAACAACACTAAACAAAGAAATAACAAATCTTAATATCTTAGCAACCAAATCTAATGACGCTTATAACAGACGAACGGTGAATACCACGATTTAGGTTTTAGGCTCGTCGGAAAGGTCACAACTTTATCTTTCGTTTTCGTATTCACAACAATTGCGATGCAAGCGTAATTATCGAGTTATTAGATGAAATGTGAAGACTTAAAGAATTTAAGTTATTTTAATAGTTAGCTTGTTGGGAGGAAAAGAAACAGTCCAGAAATGGAATGCGACATGCCGGTTTTGTTGGTGGATAATGGTTTTTGTTTATTTCTAATGATGATAGTTGCATGATCGAAATGCTAAAGGCCTTACGGTTTTTTTTATCTTTCTCTTTATTCCTTTTGCAGAGTCGATCGTAAATGTCTATCGTTGCTGTTCGCTTATTATTATGTAATTGAAATGCTCGAAGACAGAAACGTTCTCTTTAACTGTCTCAAGTCTTCCACAGAATACTAAATAGCAAATTTGTTCGTTTCAAACGAAACACACAACAATAACAACAACAATCTTTGTTAGATAAGAAAGATTCTTTGTTCCTCCACCTCCCACATGCATTGTAACAATTTCTTCGTCTGTTTGGGCGCAGTTAATTTAGTTCTAACCCAGATTTCCGCACCATAAAGACCGCACGTGCTGCATTCACTCACTTCGTTTCTCTCGCAGTTTTTCCATCACCAAAGAATGCATCCTTCTTTCTCTCTCCTTTATCCACTCTATACACTCGGTGTAGTCGAGTTGCGGCCGTTACGAAATCTGTAATAAATGCCAGAGGCGGCTGTGCGCCAGTTCGGCTCTTTTCTTTCCTAATCCCAGCTAACATTTACTTTCGCAACGCCGTAAACTTTCCTCCTTTTTCCATATTCCTCCTACGCATTAAACATCATCACACAATACACATTCTTATAAGTATTTCTATTCAAAAATCGCTATATCTCGGTTATTAATGACTGTTACGCAATAGTAATTATACGAAAAGAAGCGCAAGAAAAAACTGTTAAAATTGATGGAAAGCTAATATCTAAAAAGTTTTATAGTTTTCGAGTTATGAAGAAGAACAAATAAATTTAAAAAAGTCATCTTTGACAGTTCATAGCGGATGTTACGTAACCGTAATTATACCAAAAGAAGCGCAAGAAAAAACTGTTAAAATTGATTAAAAGCTAATATCTAAAAAAAATTATAGTTTTCGAGTTATGAAGAAGAACAAATAAATTTTAAAAAGTTATCTTTGACAGTTCATAGCGGATGTTACGTAACCGTAATTATACCAAAAGAAGCGCAAGAAAAATCTGTTAAAATTGATAAAAAGCTAATATCTAAAAAGTTTTATAGTTTTCGAGTTATGAAGAAGAACAAATAAATTTTAAAAAGTCAACTTTGACAGTTCATAGCGGATGAACGGTGCGCACTGTCAATACGTCAGTGGGCTCGTTGGAAAGTGCACGATTTTATCTTAAATTCGTATATTCAATATTTGTAATTGGTTAAGTTGGTGAGAAATTAAAGAAGAAATAAAAAAAGTACAAAAAAATTGCAATATCTGTGTTATTAAATTGCATTATGTAATAAGTTTTGTATGAAAAGAAGCGCAATTTAAGGGTTTTTCTCGTGTTGTTATGAAATTGTGAAAAAGCTTTATGGTTTTCGAGAAAATGAGAATATTTTGTTATGATTTTCGCGTTTCTAATTGTAACGATGATTCGGATCAAAGCGGCTCTGCGTGTTTATGTGTGTAATTGGTGTAACGAAATAGGAAAGAATAGAGGGAAAGAGGCAAAAACGAAGTATAATTATTATTTGAAGGCGAATGCGGGTCAGAGGAATCGCCGACCTGCCGCAATTGCGGACACGTTGAACCAAAAACAAACAAAAAAAAGAAGCCTCCTACTCCTCCGCAAAAACAAAGGAGAAACGATTGGCGAAACGAAAACGAACATAGATGGCGCAACTTAAACGTTTTATGTTCCAGATTTCGTTTGTTTTTTTTTTTGGAGAGCGAGTTTGTGGCCTACTTTATGGGATTTAAACAGATAAAGGCCGTGGGATAATGGTGCCCGATAATGCAAGTTCACAAACAGTTTCCAAGTGTTAATTGAAATTATTTTCTATGCTGTGTAAGGTTTTTCGTTTCAGAAATCGTGTTTGTTATTTAAACGAATCACGGGACAAAAAATAACAATAAGAAGAAGAAGCGCAAGAGAGGAATGGGATCAAGCGTACCTTGAACTCGTCGATCTTCCTTTATTTCTTCCCTTCTTTGCATAAGAACGATGTCTGGAAAGTAGTCAAATAAACAATTAGTTATAGTTTCCTTGGTAACGAATACATCAACTGTCAAATTAGAGCGTTCGTTAACCTTGAACTTGTTTCGATGCTTTTTTGTTTATGATGATGAATAAATCGATCGCAGTTGCGCAAAACAAAACTAAAGCCTACTTTAAACAAGTAATTGAAATATTTTAACTGATTTTGTGTGTGTGTTTCTTTTTGCAGAGCAAGACTTGGGGAGAGGATGGTCAGCATGAACTCCACCCTCGTCGAAACAGTGAGCATCAACTATGAAGACTTCAACGAGAGTTTCCTCACGTGCGGCACTTGCCTATGTAAGTAATAAATTTCATTATCAAAATATGAAAGATTTTCTAATATTTACCACTTTGGACTTGAACTGCAGGAAGTAGTTGTACACTTCTCGCTCATTTAACAGCGCCAATCAGTGTGGAAACGTCGATAACAAGCGTGCTCTGCGCAATTAGTCGATATCTCTTGTTTCTTAATTAATTGACACGTACTAATTAATTAATTAATTACATTTGATTCTTCTTTATTATAAGGAAATGGTCCAAATCTATTCCATTATCTACGACTAATTGAATCCTTTTCTAAATCAAATTACTTATTACATTTTCGAAATTATTCGTTAAGTAGATGCGCACGTTAGGCAACCAACTGCACGCGCTCTCTTCGAAATATGCGATTCGTAGGCAAAATTCGTACAGAATTTTGCTCGTCAGCTTACGTAAACGCAATCTAATTATTTTTAATCGAATGAGTAATAATAATGCTGATTCCGTCCACGGAAATAAATATTCGTCAATCATTAAATCATAGAAGCTTTGAATTTGATTGTTTCAACATAATAATGACAAATGATGATCAATTGAAAATATTTTTTATCGAGAATGTTGAATTCTATTGTTTCTGCTTTTGTTTTTTGTTGTTGTCGCTCTTGATTAAAGCGTTATCGATGGTAAAAGAAGTTAATTAATTGTTTAGTAATTGGGCAACGTTTTCGTTGTTGCAGATGGCCTTTGGACAGGTATCTTTTGATTGTCTTTAGTGTTGTTCTTGTTGTTGACTTATAATTGATGTAGTTGAGATTAATTTGTTTTGTTTTTGCAGGTATGTACGATGGGAATGAGCACACCCCGAAACTGCTTCAATGCTCGCACTCGGTGTGTCTTCACTGTCTGACGAGGATTGCAGCGTCGCAGACAAGAGATACGGGCACGTTTCGATGTCCGATCTGCAGGGAGTTGATCACAATACCGAGAGGCGGTGTGTCCGCGTTGCCACCGTCGTTTCTCGTCAATCAGTTGTTAGATCTGATGTCCAGACAGAGACGTGAGGTGATACCGAAATGTTCGATACACGTCGCCCAAGAGTTGCTCTTCTGCGAGACGTGCGATCAAGTCTTCTGCACCCTCTGCACCGGAGGATCGCACAACGATACGACGAACAGCTGCGAACACACAATCATACCGTTCTCCATAGCCATCAAACGGATGTCCGAAATACTACTCTACAAAGCGAACGAGTGCATCTCAAAAGTAAGCCTTTTGCATTTACCTTACCTTACATTCAAAGTACCTGAAAATTATTGAAATTACATTGTATGAAAGCTGAATGTGTCACCTTTCCAACGAGCCTACTGGCATCTTCCTACTGTCACTGAGTCGCCTGCTATGAGCTGTAGAAATTGGAAAAAAAGTGAATAGAAATTGACAGAAAAGTGATGTTTTCAGTTTTTCGTTAATAACTCGAAAAGTAATAAACTTTTCTATGATTTTATTGCATAATCAGATGCAGGCAAGTGTTGCGCAACTTTTTATGTAA